AGAGAGAGAGAGAGAGAGAGAGAGAGAGAGAGAGAGAGAGAGAGAGAGAGAGAGAGAGAGAAATTGAATCTGGAATAATGGGATAATATCTATATTCATATTTTACAACAAAAACTATTTTATTTATACTCAAATATTACATTTTTATCCAAATAATGAAAGGACTTTAGACACTCTTTATTTTTTTTAATACATCTGTTTTGGCAGATATAATAAAATGGGCATTCCAGCCACTCTCCTCTCCTCTTCATTATGCCTGTTTGTGCCTGTCATAATATGTTTAGTGTAAATTTAAATGGATACAATTACAAGGTAGGAAATGATATAATTATTTTAAGGTGTCTGCCTGATAATATAGCAATACAACTTTAAAGTGATTCTTCATACTTCTGTTTTGCACACGAATATCTACTTGATTTAGTTGTCTGGATTTCTTTAAGAAACTAAAAAACACTACAATAAATACTGTGAAGCCTTGTTAACCACTTCTATGAGCCAACCATGTGATAAATATGATAAATATGGTATTTTTGGAATAAGGATGCTTTATTACATGTTAAGAGACAATGATTTGGGTTTTTTAGTAGCTAGTGATGCCCATTACAACTAGCTTCATGTTTGAATGGTGACAAAGTATTTAAAAATACTCCAGAAAAACCTTCTCCAGGTACCCAGCCTCAATTCTGCTGTGAAGTTTAGTTGTGTTACTACTATAATGCTTTTTTTATATTTCGTTAAACACTTGGAAACTGTGTAAAAAAAATTTGGATTTATTGGATTTTTGTAAACAAATTGCGCTTCTGCAACCAAATCTTGTCTTCGGGATTGTTTGTTGCGAAGATTGCTTTACAAGTTCATGGATTCCATCACTTGTGTGGCAAGTAAGAGTGCACCAAAGCCTTTGAGTTCACCCCTGGATGTCTTTACTAAACTCCACAGTCCGTTTCTATTGTGTCACTTCTGATACTGCACCTTCTGGTCTAGCCATAAAACAAACACTCTTAGCAGGATATTTTAAACACAAAAAAATTGTGCTGAAGAGATACATACAGAAGAACTGGAAGTTTAACAGCATTTCAAGTTTCCCTTGAGAAAATAGAAAGCTGTTTCTAAGGGTCATGATTTATTATGACCTCAATTTGAGGGTGTGAGCAAAGGCAGAAATGAGGAGGATGTGTGTAAGCCACTCCAGTGATTAATTGCTTCCTTTAACAGATTTTTACTTTTTAGCCTGGAGTAAAAACAGAGGTGAAGGGGGAGAGAGAGAGAGAGAGAGAGAGAGAGAGAGAGAGAGAGAGAGAGAGAGAGAGAGAGAGAACAGCATAAGTCAATGACATAAAATATGAGTACTTGAAACTGAGTATTAAAAGTGTCATGTTGGGCCTTGAAATAGATTTAGTATAGTATGTCAGTTTATGTAAGGTCTTATTGTTTGGGTTGGTCTGTTCACCCTCTCCAGATAAAGCAACTGATGAAAATGATTTCAGGGTCAAGTTTATCCATTTCATCGACCAGGATTGATAGGGCTTAAATAACCTCACCTGAACACCTAAACAACAAATCTGTTCACTAAATGATGAGTCAGTCACTGCTTCATAGTGAATGTGATTGATAATAGTTGTCTAATGAGAACTAGAGAGCCAAGTGAAATATATTCTGTAAGATACACATTTTGAGGATTTATGAATATATGCGTCTAATTTGTAAAACAAAAAAGAAAGAATTAAACAGCATATTTGTCACAGGATCAATATATTGAAGAGAACGATGCTAGATTTGCATCTTTTCAGAAGACAGAAATAAAGATTGCTGAAAATTTGGGGGGGGGTGATTATACAGTTTTGAGACTTTTGCATGTTGATTTTAATTTTTGCATGTCATTTTACTTTTCTTCTTTCATGGAGCAGTGTTAAATCCTCCAAGACTAAGCAGGATGCGATGGTCCTATAACTAGGCTCAGAAGAAGTACGCATTTGGGAGTTTTAGACATGGACATAATATAAATGGATCTGCAAAAGATGAGGCATAAGAACTTTCAGCTAACGAGGTCTAGCGCTCATAGAGGGTGGAGTCACATCTGTCTAGACATCATTGCGTTTTCATACCTAGCAGAGTGCCTGGCATGTTGTAGACCTGTAATACAGTTGTTTGTTTAGCTTTGTGCACTAAGTTATAATTTCTCCTCAACCTAGGAAGACCATTATTACTTTTCTCCTTATTTGGCATATGATGCAAGTTGGTGTGGCATACGACTCAATACTCAAAACAGATCAATTGACACTGGAGTTTCATTAAAACATTTGGTAAGGTTTTCTTTGGAAAATTCAAGAATGCTACATGGCCCCAAATTGTTTTGGGCTTTTACCTTTAAACTTTCATGTAAATGAAAGAGCCCCAGATTAAAGATTCTAATGACTATAATCAGCAGTAATCTGCTTAAATGTCCTAATTGCATGTTTAATTAGAAAAGTACCATTTTCGGGGGGTGGGGGATGGATTGTTTATTTTAGTTTCAGAATAACAAGAAAAACTGTGACAAAAGCCTAAGTATTGTTGCACATTTTGCCAATAAGAATTTTGTCAGTGTGACTAAAAATATAGAAAATCTAGGTTGATATTTTTTTCCAACAATCTATTCAATTTTTGAAAAGGTATATGTAATGGTTACTAGGCAACCGTTTTTCCTCATATAAAAGCTAAAGGAGCAAATAATAAAACACTGATCCATTTGATATTTATACAAACTTTCAATGATGGAACTTGTATTTTTTAACCAATTTAATTATTCATACAGACTACATTTATGAGTGTGATTTGTCTTCACCTGTTTCATAAATTAATGTGAATAACTAGAAAATAAGAACACTTAATAAAAACTTTAAAGAACTACTTATACTTCAAGGTGACACTGGAATACTTAGATGTGACTCCTGTGCCTTGCTTGAAACAACATCAATCTGTTTCAAAATCACCCTGGCCTTGAGCTTACAACTCTCCTGCCTCTGCTTCCAGACTGCTGATGTAACAGACATATGCCACCAAACCTTGTGAGAGACATGATTTCTAACACTTGAGGAGATGGAATTGGTTAAAACATTCATCAAGTCTTCCAGGAAGCAGAATATTGCTGTTGTGTAGAAGAGTCCCATACTTTCCTTCTAAATAAATATGTACTGACTACAAACAGTCAAAACAGTTATATAGGTTTTTATCATTATTTTTGAGGACCATTTTAACTTTCCCTGACTTTCACTTGAACTGTTTCAGAAAGCTTTTGCTAAAAATAGGAAAGTATGTCAATCTCTTGCAGGCTATAACCAGACATCCTTTTTCATATAAATCCTAAATAAAAGGGTCTCAGAAAATATAACTTAATGGACATATTAGGAGGAGTCTGGCTTTACACTTTTAAATAATTACCTAAAGCATTGGTTTTCACATTACTGTTAGGTACTTAGAATATTTCTGGTTGTATTTTTAAAACAAGAACATATATCATAAGTAAATCCTTCTAACTATCTCATCAGAAAGGAGAATTGAGTTTTACGGAGAGAGTTTTGGACAAGAAGACTGTCTCCTTTCTATAGCTAGAAGTGAAAAATATCAGGTAATTTTTTTTTCTTGTAGCTTCAAATGGAGATTGAAAATGTTCAAAAAGTTGGATTAAGGATTTGAGAATTGCCAAATCTTTGAGCCTGTAAATCTTCATCCTTCTCCAAGTTTCTGAAGAGTTTTCCCCTAATGATACCTTATACCAACTTAAGTGGTTGTTAGTTTGTAGCAGACAATCCATTAGGAGCAATGCCTGGAATGCTTTATCCCTGACAAAAATAGCCCAAGAGCATTGGCAGAGGTGAAACAGTTTCCAGGTTAAAACATGAATTTGCTTGGAAAAAAAAAAACCTGAGCCAACTTAGGCAGCCTGACATTTACTGTGTAGTATGCCTCAGTAGGCATCAGACCAACAAGTAGCTCATGCCAGTAAAAGCAGCTCTTGAAAGAAAATTGTTTTGAAACAAGTTAAACAATTTATAGCTCACTAACAATTTAATTTAGAAAATGTCTTGATTAAGTTTACTGAATAACAGAACATTTTAAGTTTATTTGATATAGAAGTATAGAGGAGTAGATAACCCTTTTGAGCATTCAGAGAAGTTAACTCTAACTTATAGATATATAGATATATAGATACACAGTTATATATACATATATCTACATGTAAGTATATCTAACACAGACGATATATAGAGAGAGGTAGAAATAAAGAAGTATA